GGGAAATGCTAATGAAAACCACAATAAAATATCATCTTACTCTAATTAGTATGGCCACTGTTTAAAAAAACAGGAAGTATTGACTAGGATGTGGAGAAAAAAGAACCTGGGACATTGGTAAGAGTATAAATTAGTACAGTCAGAAAATTTAGAACACCTGGGTATGGTGGTGCAACCTTCTGATCCCACCACTAACGAAGACTGAGGCAGGAAGACTACAAGTTCTGGGAAGATAAATTAGTGACTTAGATCTGTGTCTCAAACTGAATAAAAGGGGCTGGGGAGATAGCGCAGGGGTCTAAGCACCTGCCGGGCAAGGACAAGGACCAGGGCTTAATCTCTGGTACCTCGTGCTGTGCTGGCCCTGCACCTTGCACCACTGAAACCCGTCCTGGTGGCACAGGCATGTAGTCCCAGTGCTGGGAGGCTGAGCTGTGTGGCAAGACTGTACCAAATAAATTTTTTTTAAAAAAGGACTGGAGATAAAGCTCAGTGTTGAGGGTATGGGTTCAAACCCTAGTACCTCAAAAATAAATAATAAAAACAATTAGCAATCCCACTATTGGGTATATATCCAAAGAAATTGTCTGTTGAGACTTTTATACTCCCATGTTTGATGCAGCACGATTCCTAATAACCAAGAATTGCAAACAGTCTGAGTGTCCATCAACCAATGAATGGATAAAGAAAATGTATGTATATGCCATGTAAAACTATTCAACCATAAAAAAGATGAGGAAATTAAAATATACAAGCAACTGAAACACTGAATTTCATATTATGTATTTTAGGAAAACTTACTTTTGGTTGAAAATACACTTCAAGCAAAAAACAGAAAACCTGTTCTCTGATATATGTTGACCATGTAAGTAACCACTTACTGCCTGAATATAAGATTGAAAGACAGTACAGCATTTTAGTTGCCAGTACAGTATTTTAGTACAGAAAGTCTCAAAAGGCCTAGTACATCCTTTCAAAGGAAAATCTGCCTTCTCCCCACCCACTGCCAAAAGAAGTACATTTTTTTCTTTAGAGGTAATTAACTAAACCATATATCCCCAAAGTAGTGAAGACTCATTTCAAGTAATTACTTTGCTTGCAAGTTTTATTTACACAGTAATTGTTACTAGTGGTTTTTTAGTGAATTTGTTGTATTTACATCTTATGTACACATTTATATTTGAAAGGTAAAGAAACTGTACAATAATAAGAAATAAAAAAATACAGTAAATAAGAAAGATTAAATTTAGGCAGGTCGTCTAACCTCAGTGAGATTACTACCAGAGGCTGTGTCCCTCTCTCAGGGACACCAATACCAAGGAAGCTGTTACCAGAGAAGGTCATTTTAAAACCTATTGAACCCCTGGACATTCCCTTCATATGTTTTTACACTCACCTCCCACCAAGCAAGCCCCTGTGACAGGAGTTCACTTCTGAGGGTCCCACTGGTAGTCCCTGCGCCACAGTGACCCATAGGGTACAAATGCATAGGAGGCACCCTCTGGTCCCACACTCCTGAAGAGGCAGTCACTGCACTAACAAGGATCTTAGGCTTGTTAGTTTGAAGACTACACACAGATAAAACTAACAGAAATAGTGTGCTTAATTTTTTCAAACCATATTGTAACATATAAAATATAAATTATTAACCATATGGTATGTTATACAGTATATTAAAACTTAATATACTTAAAGCCAATTTATGAATGATTAATAGTGCATTTGCTGTACCATCAGAATTAGATTAAAAAAAGTTAATTTTACCTTTTTCTTTTACTCTTATTTCCATTGATTAGAAAAAATTATGCATAGTATTTTACAAGTCATGGACTTCATTATGTGTAAGATTTCGAATTTTAAAATGGAAATAACAAATTTTGTTTCTACACAGAAGGAACTTTAACTAAAACATATAAAGTCTTTTCAAGTAGTATGCTATTAAGAACTCTCAGAATTCATTACTTTTTACTCTTACCAGTGAAAAGCCTCATTTATACTTTTAGACTTACTCCCTAAGTCAAGTCTTCAGTCCATTAAAGTGCACAGAAATTTCGCTGTACTAATTAGTTTTCTTACTGTTAAATTACTAGGTGAACAGTTTGTTAGATTAGAAACTCCAGAGGCTAAAATTCTTTCAGTGAGAACAACTCCTTAAGGCAGATAATTTCCCTTCAAGAACAAACAGAACTGTGCTACAAAACCTAAATGAACAAGAAACAATTCTCAGCTAGTATTTCCCGCCCACAGATAATTCACACTGTTCCAGCTTGCAAATGAAGATCGGCTTGGTGCGTAGTATACACACAAGCTTGCTTATCCTTGGTCTGTAATACAGTCTTCAAACATTTGGAACTAGACATAACATCTGTATTATAGCATTTTGGAGGTTAAAGTAATATTGAACAATTCTACTCTAACCTTCAAAGTGCCTCTGTGGTAATTATTTTAAAAAAGAAAAGATGTAAAAATGTGAAGTATCTCTGAAGCTATTTAAAAAATGTATTGCATTAGACTGTTCAATTAAAATTATGGAGTCTGAAATATTTAAACTTTTTTCTTCTGAAAAAAATGGCTAGCCCTACAAAATACTTTTTTATTCATTAATACTGTGAAGTTGTTTATTTCATTATTTTGGCCATGGAATTAAAAGCCAGTAGTTTTCCACCTCATGATTCTTTTGAATTTCTCCAACACTGTCTTCCATGCTTTTTACATAGGAAACAAAAAAAAGTACTCCTCCACAAACCACTGTTTATATGTCAGTTAATCTGTTAATTTGGACAATTAGCTTTTCAGAGCAGGGCTGCTGTTCTTCTCTTCTTCTTTAATATCCTTCATTACAGATGCAAAGACCTGGAAATTATATAAAATAAAAGTTAATCCTTCAAAACTACCACTGAGGGGCTGGGAACATAGCTCAGCAGCACAGCACCTGCCAGGCAAGCATGAGGTCAAGAGTTCAATTCCTAATACAAAGAAAACCTACCACTGAGGCGGGGGAGGTGGGCTGATGGTGCAGTGCTTGCCTAGAATGCTTAAGGCTCTGGCTTCCATCCCTAGTACTATGAAAAAGATTGGGGAAAAGCAGAAAAGAAGAACCTACCACCCAAATTAATTGAACTAAAACCAACAAGCTTGGTACACTTCACTGTGCCCTGGAAGATTACTATTCTCAATGCCCTTGTTTTATAAATTTAAGTTATGGGAACTATGATTATATTCTAGTTTTAAATCAGCTGTCAATTTTTATAATCTGGTAGCAGCATGTTTCCTCAACCAGTATTCCTAAATTTCATTTCCATGAGCAGTCACTCATGGAACAAATAATAATGCCTTTCTTTTCGTCGTTTAGCTTAGATGGGCAGTGTGCTTGCTCCCTTAACTGCTTACCCAGCCATGCTGGGCATCATGGCATACACCTTTAATCCCAGCACTTGGCTGAGGCAGGAGGATTGCCACAAGTGCAAGGCTAGTCTGAACTACATAGTGAGATCCTGTCTCAGGAAAAAAAAAAGATTAACCATCTAAAAAGCCAGATTCATACATTAGTCTACAAAACACACTTAGTACATAGCAGTTTTTATTAAATTTGTTACCTCTTTGAAATATCAAAGTAATTATATAACAGTTCTGCAAAGAAAAGACTTCTGTGGGTCATAGTTTAGAACTACTAGTGGAGGTACACGAACATAAACCCTACATTTGGATAGGTGGAAGAAGACTAATCTATAAATTCTTGAAAGCCAAAAATTATTTTTCAAAGATAACATATTTATTAACTTAGGTACTAATAGTTGAGAAATATATAACTTCTTTTACAAAAGTCAAAAGATTATTTTAACACATCTATTAGAAACAAAAACATTTCACTGTACCTGAGTCCATTTCTTGGTGCTATTCTGCATCTGAATTGCTGCAATACAGCTGAAGAGCTTTTCTGCCGTGATATCTTCTGGTAACTTAGTTAGAAATTGCGCTATATGAATAAAGTCCATCTGTAGGAGAATATCTTCATATAATCGAAGGATTCCTAATCCTGTCCTAAATAAAAATTCCTCCCCATCTCTGCAAAATACATCCCAAACTCGACAGGCCAAATCCAGTGGTAGCGATTTGCTATATAGTGTGAAGATCCTAAAATTAGGTGGAAAATAGTCATTGAAGGTTTTCACTCATTGATTCATTAAGCATCTCTATAGAAAAAAAACAATGTTTTATTAGAAATAAAAAAGCAAATAAAATATGGTTCTTCCCTTAAACTTTAGGGACTAAGTAATACAATTGAGGACAAGTCTCATACACTTGGGAGCGGTACAGTGCCCTCCCGGTTAAAGGTCTGGGCTCTGAAGCCAGAATAAGAGTGCTTGAATTTTGAGTTTGACGATTACATGAACTTGAGCAAGATAAATCGCCTCACTGTGCTCCAGTACCCTCATCTGCACACTAAAGATAGCAACTGTGCCTACCTTAAGGTTATTTTGAAAATTGAAAGGGTTAATAAAATGCTTAGAACAGTGTCTGAAACACAAATGATCGAGACTAGGGTTGTAGCTCAGTGGTAGGGTGCATGCTTACATATGCAAGGCTCTGGGTTTAATCACAGCACCAAAAAGGTAAAGAAATGCTTATTGTCTGAGGAACCCAAGTATTATCAGTTAGTAACATAACACAAACCCATAAAATCTAACTTTCCTTTTTCCCTTCTATAAATATCCATCATTTTACTTTGTTGTCCAACAGAACCATTGAAAAGGTTCTGCTATTCCTTTCTGACAGTCTGACTGTGCAGTCCCTTAGACCAAGAAGTTTCAGGCAGCATTCTGTTTGGGGAAGGGGGAAGAACACGAACTAGAATATCTGTCTTGAAGTTGCCTTGTCAAAGAAGAATGTAACTTTTTTTTTTTTTTTTGCGGAACCGGGGATTGAACTCAGGCCCTTGCGCTTGCCAGGGAAGTGCTTATTCCACTGAGCCATCTCCCCAGCCCCGAATGTAACATTTTTTGAAGGGCATGTTAGTATTGCTGGTGCTTGAATCCAGGGCCTTCTCATGTATTTACATCCCCAGGCTTTTTTATTTTGACACAGGGTCTTACTAAGTCCCTCCATTGCCCAGGCTGGGCTTAAACTTGCATCCTCCTGCCCCAGCCTCTCAGCAAGTGTGTGCCACCAGACCTGGCTAGAATAAAACGTTTTACTCTGATGGCCTGTTTATTTGTTGGTAGTGCTGAGGAATCGGAGGAAGGGATCTAAAAGCTATTCCTATAAACAACAACAAAATCCCTTACCACTTTCATGTACTCATTTTCCCTTACAAAAATAATTTTGAGATTTGTATATAGTAAGTTCTAACAAAGATAGTGAAAAAAATCATCTCTGTGCCTTAAATTATAAACACATTTAATTGCATAACAAAAGGTATGCTTTTGGAAGTACAGAGACTACTAACTTCATTATTAAAAATGAGAACTAAATGCCTAGGCGGATGGACCGAGGTTCTATCCCTGGCACCATATGCACCCTGGTCCCAGCCTGGACCCCAGAGGCCACCGATTCTGGGCATGGTGGCACACGCCTGTAATCCCTGCACTGGGGAAGCTGAAAACAGGAGGATCACTACGAGTCTGAGCTGTGTAGTGAGACCCTGCACCAAATACGTTTAAAAAAGAACTGCCGAGGCAGTTGCTAATACACAGTACTCACCCCTGGATCAGCTGCGATCCCAGTATGTCCCATGCTCCTTGAGACTGACAATTGAGGGTTTCTTTATTTAGATCCCTTCCTGACATGTGGTGTTGTTGTTTATAGGAAGAGCTTTGCGATCCCTTCCCTTCTTTGGGTTTCGTGATTTTCTGGAGTCCTCAGAGGACCACTTATGTCCCTAGTGGATACTGAGGCCCATACATTGAAAACTAACAACAACATCAACAACAACAACAACAAAAAACCCTGAATAAATGAAGGGCCACATTAGGAAGACATCACATTTGATTAACCTGTTGTAGGGTTAGCTGCTCCATCTCTCTGGCAAAATTTGCTCACCATTCTAAAATCAATTGGCTACAACTCACCGGGTAGAACCTTCATCTTAGAACAGAAAGTTTTGAGTTGAAAAGGTGAAAAAAGATATTAGCACCTATATAAGGTGTCATTTCTCTGTCAGAAAACTAGATAAACCTTGGCAAACAGGTCTTAGTAGGATATACTACCATAATTCCTTATATGTAAAAACAAAGAACAGTTTTTCTGCAAGCTTAATATGTGCTAGGCACTGAATGAGACAATCTGTGTAAAACCCACTAAAATTCAAGATACAAATATTATTCTCTTCTATAGATAAAACAGAGAAATTGTAATTGCAACCCAGAGTCCATGCTCTTAATCAAGTATGTCCCCACAAAAATAGTGTTTCTTTTTCTAAGATTCTTTCACACATATTAGGCCATGTGTGAGATTTACTATAGTTCCTAAAACCACAAAAAGTTATAGTTTATTTCCTTATCATTATCACTTTATTTATGTTACAACTTACCAATCTATCAGATATATATCTGGTGTAAGACTGTAAGACTTGAAATGAAGAAATAGTTTGGAGAGATTTTCTTCAAAGAATACTTCAAATGTTGCAAAATATTTCAACATCTACAGATAGACAAATCAGTAAGATTATGAAAGGTATACTGTAGAAAGAGAAATCTTTATTAGTAACAATTTTCTGTATTAGCACTGTGCATCTTCTCATATTCTTAAAACTACTAGTTCAATGAAATGTTTACATTTAGATTATGTTAGTCTTCTACTTGTCAGTTTGTTTTATTTTTACTTTCTGTTGTTTTTTGAGACAAGATTTTGCTTTGTGGTTCAGACTGGCCTTAAAGTCACTATAGAGCCTAACCTAGCCTCAAATTCATGGTGCTGCCTCGCCTCCTAAGTGCTGGGAATACAGGCGCACAACACCACGTCCAGCTTTGTTCTCTTAAGGGGTCATTCAGAATACAGAAGCATACAAAACATAATCCACTCCAAATACTCATACCATGCTGTGATCCACACGAAAAAAGGCCAGCTGGCACGGCTTATTGAGGAGATTGGCAAAGGCAATGAAGGCGTCTGCTTCCTCCAAGTTGAGAAGGAGCACTGCTGCGATGAAGGACATCCCCTGGACCTTCAGAGTGAAAGAAACGCAAGTGGACTTCATTCTACGTAATTTGCTGTACTCCTGAAAAGTGGTCACATCACAAAAGTGTACCAAGATGTCTTTTTTCTTCCCAGAAGAGGTAAATACAGAGACTACGATATTATAAACTCTACCAAACTTCGTATTTCTTGTTCATGTGGTACGACTTAATTAGTATTAAAAAAAACTTAGAAATAAGTATCAGCTTCTACTTGCTACAAAAGCCTAACTCAATATATCACCACCTAGTTACTGTGAATTTCCTATTGATCTTTTTTAAAATAAATATATAGTCACAAAATCTAGTGAAAAATCAAATGATTATTTTCTTTTTACAAGACAATTCTAGGAGAGATGAGGTTGTGGGGTTGAGATAGCCTCAATTCCTGGGAAAGGAAGAGAGAGAAATGGAAAAAACCATTTCAGGATGAAAAAGAATAACTGGCAGTAACAAAGAAATGAGAACAACAGGACCAGTCTAGTTAAAGCACAAAGATTTATGGGAACAATGGAAGACATTAAGGAAAAGTAGGTTACACTTACGTGATGGAAGACCTTCAGTAGAAGGCTAAGGCACGTAGATACTTGTCTGTGAGTTATGAGGAACACACACATCTCAATTGTATTATGTATTTATTCATTATGTGGCCTGCTCAGCCCACCTGGGGCGGGGCTGGCGCCCATGTGGTGCTGGGATCAAACCATGGTCCCTGCACACGTGCCCAAGTAGGTGCTTCAGACTGCTGAGCCATCTCGCTGGCCCTATACATCTCAATTTCAAAATAAGGAAAACGCCATCAAGTACTTCTAGACATTTGTATGATAGGCTTATACAAAGAGACCATGAAAAATAGCAATGTATTTTGGAAAAAGTCTACAGTCATGATTTGTTTGTACTTTTTACTTTTTAATATGGATTTCCACTATATTATGTTGGGACTTCCCTTGCTAGAATGACAGTGACGTTTGCTGTGAAGCCCAACAGGTACTCGCTGTCCTCACAGCATTCTCCTAGCTTCTGTGACTCATTTTTGTTTGTTGTTGTTGTTGTTGTTGTTCTCTTACTTCTCTGGCTTTTCATCCCCAGCTTGCCATTCTGGCCCCGCCCCAGGCGTGTGCTGAGACTGGGCATGGTGGTTCACATGCCTGTAACCCCAGCACCTGGGAGACTGGAAACATCCAGGTGATCACTGTGAGTCTAAGCTGCGTAGTGAGACCCTGTAGACCTTGTACTAATACAAATAAGTAAGTAAATAAAGTACTCTTGGCAAACACTGTATGATCACCTATTTGATGCTCTAGAGTATAAATTCCGTGAATACAGAGACTCTAGTAGGCAGAATAACTGCCTCTTAGAGATATTCACATTCTAATCCCCAGAACTTGTGGAAATGTTGTAATACATGGTAAAGGGATTTGGCAGCCGTGGTTAACTATAACCATGCAATGGGAAGATTATCCTGGGTTATCTAGGTGCGCCCAACATAAGCATCACAAATGATCTTTTTTTTTAAAAAAAAAATATTTATTTATTTATTTTGTGTGTGTGTGGCCAGCTCAGCCCACCAGGGGGCGGGGCTGGCTGGCATGTGGTGCTGGGGGTTTGAACCGCGGTCCCTGTGTTTTGCTTAAGCTTAGCTTGTTCTAAGTAGGTGCTTTAGACCACTGAGCCATCTCACCAGCCCCTCACAAATGATCTTGTAGTGAAAAAGGAAGGCAAAGAAGTCGAGAAACCTGAAATTCTGAACTGCTGGTTTTGAAAGCAGAGCTATGGGGCCAGAACCAAATAATGTAGAGACCCTCTAAAAGATGTAAAAGAAAAGACTACAGTTTCTGTTGGGGGCCTGAGAAGGCAAACAGGTTCACCAGTATCTAGACATCAACTTAGATTAACCTATCACACTTCTGACTTGCGGGACTGTGGAGCAAACTGGCACTGTTGGAAGCCACTAAGTTGTAATTTGCTATGGCAACAATGGGAGAAAGTAGTAGGGATCAGACGGCATCTGTTTGTAACTGTATTCTTAGTACTGCAATATTTGCTGAATGAATATAAGGGGAGAAGTGTTAATCATCAGTAATAGAATAGTAGGAAGTAAATAGAAGGATTAAAGCTCTTAGTAGCAATGTATGTGGCTCTGTTAAATACAGCTATTTCTGAGATAAGATTCATTTATGTGTGTGTATAAATATGTACACATACATATACATATAAAGTACTACTGGCTTTCAGAGAATTCTTCTACATATGTTTATAAGTATTAAATACCAATCAGACCACTAATGGACACATAGTACAACTCTTATAAAAGAAAATATTAAAGTAAGATCCAATCACTGAAATTAGTTTTTCAAATTATGTTCATATTTTAATTCACAACAACAACAAAAAATATTCCAAAACTGGAAACTCATAGTACTTGTGCAAACTCGATGATTTTATTTATTTATTTGATTTTTAATTTTTTTGCAGAACCAGGGATTGAACTCAGGCCCTTGCTCTTGCCAGGGAAGCACTTATTCTACTGAGCCATCTCCCCGGCCCCTGGATGATTTTAAATGTGATGTTACTTTGATGACTTTTTAAAGTCACATTTTGGGGCCAGGGAGATGGCTCAATAGAATAAGCGCTTCCCTGGCAAGTGCAAGGGCCTGAGTTCAATCCCCAGTTCTTTAAAAAAAAAAAAAAAAAAAAAAAAGTCACTTTTTATTCTGATTAGAATTGTTACCAAGATGCTGAGCTTTTGGAGCTGGGTGTGTGGTGCACACCTACTGTCCCAGCACTCAGGAGGTTGAGACAGGAGGATCACTATGAGTTTGAGACCAGCCTGAGCTACAAAAGTGAACACAAGACCAGCATGAACTGCTTAGCAAGAACCCAGCCTTAAAAAAAAAAAAAAGTTGACTTTTTGTTGTTTGAAACTAGTTTGTCATAACATTGTGTATAATTACAGTATTTGTTTTGTAGGGCTATTGTGAATGTATAGACTTACATTTACTGTTAAGAGAACAATTATTTATAAAATAATATTAAATCTGCTATTAGCTGCCTATTTCAGACAATACTTGCAGAGACCCATGTTACATTTACCACACTGAAGGTTTTTGTTATGTTTTAGAATGATCCTCATTGTTGAAAGTAAATGGGCTTTTAGGGTGGGAATGTTAGTGTTCCAGTAAGCATGTGGTTATGTTAAGGTGGTGGTTGTGGGAAGAATCTTGATTCCATTGGGAATCTTAGGTTTTCATAAATTTATTGGGAAAATATTTTTTCCTGTACTGCTGAAATTTTTTTTGGTAAACCGTATTTTTCTTAAAAAAAAGGCATGAAGGAGAAACTGAAGTGTATATACATGTCCTCAAATGATCAGCATTGTACTTGTAATATCTTGCATTGAACAGTGTGGAAGCTGTTTATTTTTCAATCTGAAGTAAAATACTTACAAGAGCTTTAAAAAAAGCTCTTGTGTGTGGGGAGCTATACTTAACTAAATTTATAATACTATTAATTTGATATACTATTATTTTATGTACTTAAAAATGCACCCAATTTAAAAAAGGCAATGTTTCATCCCTTATAATTTTTATTTTATGCATATTCATAAAGCTATTTAAACATTCATATTTATAATATCACTTTTATATCACTTGTGCATTGATGAAAAGAAAATAAAATTATTTACACTGCTTTAATCTTTTTGTTTTAGGAATTTAGATCTACAGGGTCTCACCATGTAGATCGGATCCACAGTGATTCTTCCGTTTTCAGCCACCACGCCCAGGCTCAGCTGCGCCCTCAGCACCGCTGGGGCGGGGCCAGCACCAGCGAGGTACGCTGGAGACCAAAGCCTGGCCGCTGCGCTCTGCCAAAGCAGGCGCTTTAGTCTGCTGAGCTATCTGGCTGGCCCTGTTCTAGTCTTTTATTTACCTGCTTATGGTATGATGTCATGAAAAAGACATTTCATGTGTGATAGTATTCCTGCCAAAAATGTTTAACTTGAATCTCATCATGCAAAATCATGATAGTTTAAATTCCACTGCATGTTTCTAAAGAAGTATAAGATGTCCAGTGCAAAAACAGAATTATTTATAATTAAATTTACAATAAAAAATACTTAAATGTCCGCTTAAACATGTGTAGGGGATACACAGAATGCCCGTGCAAGGCAGTCTAAAGACTGCTCCAACCACACATTCTCCATCAGACTATCTCATCACTTTTTAAAATACAATTTTTCCACCTCTAATTTAGCTTTTCCTCTTGTTACTATGTCATATTTTTGTCATACCAATTATAAGCTATTAATGTAGTATAATTTAATTCTTTATTCTCTTCTAAACTGTAAGCATTTAAGAGGACTAATCTTTTGTTCTCTAAAGTATCTCAAGTGCTTAGAACAATGCCTAACATGTAGTATTAATAGCCATATAAACCTCTGAGTGTATGAATGAACAAACGAAGAAATATACAACAACCAAGTACATTGTACCAGACTTATAGTGAGGCCTTTAAAATTCTATTACAGGTGAGAAAATGAATGTTTTGTAATTTCTGGTTAAACATGGCAACTGAATACACATGTTTCCTTCTAAAACCCAAGCAAGCCCAGTAGATAGTTCAGTGGCTTAAGTGCCTGCCTAGCAAGCGCAAGGTCCTGAGTTTGGTCCCCAGTACTGAAGGGGAAAAACAAAACAAAACAAAACAAAAAAAAAAAAAAACTTAAAACCCAAGCAAAATGATAGTAAAGAAAAAGCTAAGGGCTGGTTTGGTGGCGCGTGCCCGTGATAGCAGCACTTATGAGCCCAAAGCGGAGAAGCACAATTGGAAATTCAGCCTGGGCTACAGCACAGGTTCAAGGCTGTCTTGCATTACACAGTAAGACCTTGTCTCAAAAAAGAGAGATAGAGTGAGCAAGAGAAGGAGAAAAAGGAAGAGGAGGAAGGAAAAGGAGAGAGGAGTATCAAAGAATTATTAACTTATTAAGAGGACAAAGAATAAAAAATTTAAATAACATAAGATGTCGGTAGCATTTTAGGAATTTTAATTAAGTGAAGAATGTTGAAACTAAGGATCAGAGGAGAAAGCTAATAATCAACAAGTCAATTCAGCCACAAAAATCTGGAAGGGTGAGGAATTGAAGGTGCCAGATATCTCTGAAATTAGGAATAAGGCTAAAAATAGAACTGGCTCAGTCAATTCTAATAGTAAATCTTTCCCCTATCCTATGGGAAAGGTACCTAGATTTCAGTTAACCTGGCAGTAAATAAGAACTTTCTTCTACAAAGGCAAAGACAGGGAAAAGGTTTAGAGAGAATGGAACAAGGCACCACATAGACAACGGAAGTATTAAGTAGAAATTTACAAAATAGTGAAAAATCCCTAGCTGCACTCCCACAAAACTATCACCTTGTGATAGAAGTATCTGGCAAAAGGATGAAAAATTGCCTCTCTAGGTAATTTGATAAGCCCAAGAGAGACAGAGATAACAGATACTTAATCTTTATCTGTAACATCTAATATAACATAAGGTATTTCCATAAAAGTATCAATTAAAAAGTTTATATTCAAAAAAACAGAAGCAAATACTTACATAACCAACATCAGGTCTGTAACATGTATATGCCCCTAAGATACTATGTAAAACATCATGATATGGGCCACCCTTAGGAGAGAAAAATGAAATTTGAAACTATACGAATAATTGTCTAAGTTTTCATATAACATGTTTAAAAAACTGTAGCATTTCTTAAATGACTAGTTTTAGTGTATTGTCAAAGATACTCTAAAAGCATTCTGAAAAGGTGTTTTCAAAATTACTAATAAAGATATTTTAATCCTGAATAACAAGGTCAAATATACTCACTTGATGATGTAAGCTACATAATTTGCAAACACACTTAAAGATTTCTAGACTTGGTACAAGAATATGATGAATAAAGACTGGTTTTTCTTTCTTTGTTGAGGGCAAGGTGGCACTGGAGAGTAAACCCAGGGTTTTGGTATGCTGCACATGCTCAACACAGAGCTATACACCTAGCCCTTTCATTGTACGTAATACAAATTCAGCAAAAGAAAACCATCAAGTACACTATGTTAAGTTTTATTAATACTTTTAACCTTACATTGTTTAGCTCATTTTATTTATCAATCTTACAACTTATTAATAACTATTTCTTCCTATTTTAATAACTGTTGAATATAGTTAACCATTTTTCCCATAAAATAGAACTATTTCTTCCTGTTTGTTATAATTCTGAAAAACACTAAGTTTAGGGACAAAGTTCTTAATATTTTAACAATTTACTAGGCAAAAATTTACAAGTCCCATACAGAATGAAAAGTAAAACAAACTCTGTACAATAAAAATGTATGGTGGCACCTGTCTGTAATCCCAGCTGCTCAAGAGACTGAGGCGGGGGGCCGGGGAGATAGCTCAGTAGAATAATTACTTGCTTGACAAGTACAAGGTCCTGAGTTCAATCCCCAGTACCGCAAAAAAAAGAGAGAGAGACCAAGGCAGAAAGATCCCAAGTTTGAGGCCAGCTTGGGAAACTCAGCAAGACCCTCTTAGTATTTTAGAAAATGAAACCTCTTGATATGTACCACCCAGCACTCCCTGGGGTCATTCACCAGTACTTGAGGTAGGAGTGGGTAATATCAAGTGCATAAACATAAACAGTGTTATGTGCAATAATAACTAATTGGTTTTGTCACTGGGATAAAATGATAGAATTTTCTTTCAAATTTTCCTATTTAGCATTTATTACATATAAAGGTCCCAATTTTTGTAGTGCTGTCTTTTGTTTTAAGTATTGCAGACTGAATCCAGGGCCTCATACATGCTAGGTATTTATTTTACCATTATATTCCATATCCCTGCGCATTTTTAAAACTTTATTTTGTAACAGGGTCTCTCTAAGTACCCCAGGCTGGCCTCAAACTTGCAATCTTCTTACCTCAGCCTCCCAAGTACCTGGGAGTACAGAGGTGAGCTCCCATGCTTAGCTATCTAATTTTGGCTTTTTCAGAACAGCTGTTCATTTAGAGAATTTGTCCCCTTGTATACTGAAATATTTTTAAAAGTAGTTACCAGCTGGTTAGAAACCCTCACCTTCTGAAAGATGAAGAGAGATGGAAATGTACGGGATATGTCCAACTTAATTAATTCCAGACTGGCCTCTCGGTCAGCAACAGATACACCTGCATTTACCAAGTAAATAAAATTTAAATGATCACTTGGCTGTAACAAGTTCAGTTTTGTAAAAACAGAATGATCACATAGCATATGTGTTATTTAAGGAAAATTAAAAGCTGAATAATCAAGATATTTTAAGAAATGCCATATAGTTTTTGTTAGAACTTATATGAAAATATATATTTATCAGAAAGGTTTGTAGTGAAAGAATTCTGCTTCCAATTTTTATAGATGTAGTAGCACAGACTATCCTTACCATGATAACTAGAAAAATAATTATAAATATACCATTTTATTAAAAAAAAATCACCACAGCTGATACAGCAAGTTCTGTAAGATTTAAATTCTGGAAAAAGAAAGGCCAATGGCCACTTTTCTTTCTAGTGGTCTGCCATGTCTGGAATGGGCTCAGAATTAAGGCACTCTGCCTGAGCAAAGAGAAACCAAAAGAGCTCTTCATGGCCACACAAGACAGATAGGATAGTAGGGCTCCAGAAGACCCTTGATTTTCTCCTACGGAACTTTCACTGAATACAGAAGGTCAGGTTGGAAATGCAAAATGAAATCGCCCAAAGTCACATAGTGCTTTGGCGAGCATCTCATTGGAGGGAAAAGCCTGTAATCAAAATAGGACAGTTCTCACCAAGAAATTTGAAAACGGGGATGAATGAAATCCACTTCAATTACTGATTGAACTGAGGTGATAAACCCTTAATCCAGCTGCCTAGAAAGAAACAGCATGCTTTTTCCAGCTTCAGTTTATATATATATATTGTATCTAGCATATAATTTAAAATTTTAAGATATGAAAAGAAGCAGAAACTGTGACATACTCAAGGAGGGAACTACCCAACAGAAGGAGACCTGCAGATAGCCCAGCTTGGGAATTAACAAGCAAGAATGTTGTCTCTTATATAAACAGGTTAAAGGAAGGAGGGAAAAGAGAGAAAATGGATGGATGAAAAGATGAAGAATTTCAACAGAGTAATAGAATGTATAAAGAGAACCAAGTGGACATTATAGAATTACAAAGCATAATAAACTAAAAACTCATTGGACAGATTTAATAGTATATTGAATAGAGCAGAAGAAAAGATTAGTGAACATGATTAAAGATTAATAAAAATCATTCAAACTGAAGCAAAGAAAAGTCTAATAATCTTATGGGACATTGTTAAATGGTTTATCATACACATAATCAGAATATCAGAAAGAGAGAAATGGGGCTAAAGCAGTATTTGAAAAGCTAATGGCCAAAAATTAAATGACAGCTACAAATTATAAATACCCAGGAAAAAGAACAGTAACTTAAGTAAAATGCTGATTAGAATATTCAATTAATATTCCTGATTACAATAATTATTCAATACTTTCAGATGAATTTCTACTGATGGACAGCCTTCACTGTTTACTCATGACAAAATATCTCAAAAGTTAATGCTTATTGTTTTAATCCTTAGAATTTTGATGTCTCATAACACTTTTTGAAATAATGAAATAGCTGAGGTCCTGCCAGTACAAAGCTCCTGACATCTTTACCTTCTTGTACTTTTAGTTCCCCACAAATAGCTGACATAGCTAACAGGCCTCAGAATGGTGTTGGCAGGAAATCAAATCTTCTCTCTACCCTTCTTTAGTTTTTCCCTCCTAATGTTCAATTTTCTAAAACAAAGTTTTCAAAAATTTAATCAAAGAAAACCACTACAAAACTACCACCTCTGAAGCTGTGCTCGTATTTAGAGATCTGGTTTTCCCTGTTGGGGGTGGTGTTGGTGGTACTGGGTGTTGATCCCAAGACCTATATCCCTTTTTTAGTTTTTGAGACAGGCTCTTCTTGCTCAGCTGCCCACGCTGGGCTCAAACTTGGGTCCTGCCTCAGCCTCCCAACTGCTGACATCACACCAGCACTCTGGTGTAAGGCACGCACTATCACATCTGGCTCAGTTTTAGGGTTTTATTCGTAGGCAAGAAAAGAGAGTTTGTTTTATTTCTATACGAAGTAAAACAAATATAGAAAAGCAACCAACAAAACAAATTGCTGCCCCATTAATCAAGGACAATATATCATTTCTATAAATTTACCTAAATTTAATAAATTATGGAGAAACAAATGCTTCTGCTTTCTTCAAAATATTTAGGAAAAACCAAATAGACAAGAATGGGGGAAAGATGGGGCTATGAATGAGTTAAATGAACAAATAAGGCACAGTAAGATTTATAAATCACTTACAAGAGGTCACACATGAGGTGTGAAGAACATCTGTCTTAAGTAAAGGTTGGCTTAAAAGTACTTCATCCCATTAGCCTACTGTGATTTCAGTCCTTGCCTTCAGGGTACAATAAATCTGGTTTATATTCAGCTTCTCTTGTTTTGTTACTAACTAAGGTTTCTTCTTCTATAATTCAGGATAATACCTACTAAAAAGGTTAAGGTTAAATGAGATGATATTTATAAAAGTTACCACAGTTCCTGATACATGGTATAAAATCAAACTACTGTCTTCAGTACCTGGATTTTCATCCTGTAATTATTATTTTAAAAAGAAAAATCACACCTTCTGTATCATTCTCTGAGCTTGTTTCACTGAAGCTTTTCCATCGTTCTTTTGCTCTTGAAAGGAAGATCTCATAAAGTTCTAAAGAAAAAAACTTCATAAGAATATATTCATATATTTAAATTTTTACTCTTTACATACCTAGCAGCAAATTGAAGTATTCCATTCTACTAAAAGAATCCATTACATAACCACAAAGACAACAAATAAAAACAATAGAGATTGACTACCTACACATCTAGGTATTCACAATATAGAATGTATGCATGAAGCAGAAACTGATGTTCTTGCTAATGGAGTGTCACTGTGGAACAGCAGAAATAGAACTTTTGAAGTCAGTCAGATCATGAATCATATTCCAGCTCTTCCATTACTTCCTGTGGGACTTACTTTACTTATTTACTTATTCATTCATTCATGGTTTTTTCTTTCTGTATTTGTAGGGAAGGGTCTACAGGGTGTTCAGCATCTCACTACTAGATCAGACTCCTAGTGATTCCCTGTTTACGACCTCCCAAGTGCTGGGATCAGAGGCATGTGCCACCACGCCCAGTCTCAGTTGCTATCTCAGCACAACATGGGAACCCCTGAGCTTGCATTCATGGGTTTTTTTGAGACAGGTTCTCACTATGTAGTCCGAGCTGACCTTGAATACACTGTGTACACCAGGCTAGGCTTGAACTTAGTGATCTCTCACCTCAGTCTCCCAAGTGCTGAGATCATGGCTACGGTGGGAATTTAAAACCTTAGCCACTCTGCACTTGGCTTTCGTCATCTGTAAAATGAAGAAAACTAGTACCTACTCATGAGTTTACTCATGATTAAACAATAATATTTTATGTAATCTTTCCACATCTTATAGGTCCTCAATAAATCTTGCTTTTCTTAAATTGGTTTTTTCTGTTATGATATTAACTGTCTGCAGCTACCTATATTTCACAATTTGTTCTGAATACAAAAATCTGTCTCTATTTTTTTTTTTTTTTTGGCGGAACTGGGGATTGAAATCAGGCCCTTGCACTTGCCAGGGAAGCACTTATTCCACTGAGCCATCTCCCCAGCCCTCTGTCTCTATTTTTTATGTTATAATCCCTGTCACCTGAATATCACTTATGATTCTATATCACAGTCTCATAAAATTTCACGAAGACTTTTCTCAAATTTTGAATTTAAATTATCTTGACTTTCTAGCTAACTATTACAGATATCTGTAACTATTACAGATACATAAAAATGGTAAATTTCAGGGGCCGGGGAGATGGTCCAGTAGAATAAGCGCTTGCCTGGCAAGCACAAGGGCCTGAGTTCAATCCCTGGTTCCACCCCCCAAAAAAAAGAAAGAAAGAAAGAAAGAAAAGGCAAATTTCAGAGATAGAAGACCAAAAACTATTTCTTATCCAACACCAACACTTGTATATTGTTCAAAACATCAACATTTTTTGCCTAAGTGAATTTTTAAAAAATTATTTTTAAAGGTCAAACATAGACATGGTCTCTAAAAAATGCACACTGTACAAAAAAGTTGGTAATGAAAAATAATTTTCTTCTCACATGCAACTATGCTTACCACAGTTCTTATGAACTCTTACAATGACAAAAAAACATGCATAGGTATATGCCTACATATCTTCAAAAAATCACAGAATGGCAACATATTACATGTACTGGTATGTATCTTATTTTGTTATATTAGAAGTTATTCTACATTAGTAGATGCAAAGTTGTTCTTGTTTCTATTTAAATAACTGCACAATATTTCAATGTATGACTGTGCCATAAAGTGTTCTCATAGTGCCAATAATCAGATTATAAAGTAACGGATAGATCAGTGACGGTGAACCTTTGAGAGCTTTCAATGATACCAGCAGCCTACTGTTCCATGTGCGTCACAGGTTCACTACTACTAGACATGACACATTACAAACATACTAGTTTCTTCTCCTTTCTATTTGTTTTCCACTACTAATGGTTTGAAAAGAAATGTAAAAACTTAAAATTTTTTAATTTTGTCCACTACCATTAAGTGATTTCACAGACATAAATATAATTATAAAATGTATGTAGACAATGATTTTGGATCATTGGTCATTAAATTGTACTAAGTTTGTTTTGTTTCTTTGTTTGTTTGGGGCAGGGGTTTGTCCTAGGGATTAAACTCAGGGCTTTATACCATGTCAGTCCACATGGGGTTTTTTTTTTGTTGTTGTTGTTGTTGTTGGTTTTTGCTTCAAACTAACTCTAAGTCAGAATAGTTTCATTATTCTACCCAAATTTTATTTTTATTTTTTATTTTTAATGTTTGCTTTATTTCTTTTTTTTTTTTTATGGTCAGCTCAGCCCACCCTGTGAGCGGGGCTGGCATGGCATGTGGTGCTGGCGATCAAACCGAGGTCCCTGCATGCTTGCCTAAGCAGGCGCTTTAGACCACTGAGCTATCTCGCCAACCCCTCTACCCAAATTTTAAAATGGCCTTGAAAGAGATGGGGATATGACTCTGTGGTAAAGTGCTTGTCCCTCACTGGGGAAAAAAAAAAAAAGATAAAAAAACTGTCTTGAAAGAAGATTAAGCAAAAAAAAAAAAAAAAAAA